CTCAAAACAGAAAATTAAAAATGAATTCAAAACTCAAACACAAATCAAATGGGGCACGGGCCCTTACCTCTTTTACTCACAAACTTAATTTTGTATAGAAATACTAAAAGAGAAAATTATATCAAGTGAGAATTATAAGAATGTAATCAATTTATTAATATTTTTTAATCTGAAACGAAGCCTTTCATAAAATTGATGGTCATCGTGTACCAGATCTCGCACCCGCCCTCATCTCATTTCAACCAAGTATTGTGCTCGTTGAGTCCATATTTGATACAATGGGCTACACAAACAAAACTGGACAAGCTCACTAAAGAGATATGTCAAATATTGTTCGTCTATTTTCACATTCAGTCATGTCCAATTCCATATGAATCATTGAACAATTATTTATATTGTTTTTGTATTTCGATTCTGACAAGATATATTTCAAAAAGTTCGTTTGACGTTGAAACAATGCTAAAACGCGTGCACCGACAAACACTAGTAGCATCTTAAAAAACACAATCATGTGAAAGAAAAATTCCTCGAGTATACAAATTGATATGCACTTTCCTTAAAATGACTAGGTGTCACTAAGGTGGTGGATGAAAGCCAAAAACCTTTCAAATGCAAGTTTGTCTACTTTTGTTAGCATGCGTGGGGCCAAAAGCGGATCCAAGACGAGATTCAAGATGGGACTAAAAAACTAAGTGAAAAAAAAATTACACATAAAAAATTTAATTTTACATTAAAAAAAAAATTAAACATAAAAAACTAAATAGGCAGGGGACTGGACCGAGCTATAGCCCTCCCTAGTCCCCTACTACATCCGTCCATGCATGGGTGATGTGGCATCGCGTGTGTAGCGTTGCCACTTCTTATACTGATAGAAGCGGGGAAAGGTACTTGTGTGTGAAAGGTTTTGTATGTATAAGGCAATAGTGACAAGGATATAAGATAAAGTTTGGTTGATGGTTGTGATTACAAGTGTTTGGATCTATCATAATTTTGCATCCACATATTCCCTTCGTCCCATAAAAGTAGTTCTATTTTTCCTTTTAGTACGTCCCAAATTATAGTTCTGCTTCTTATTTGAGAGTGTAGGTAATATGTTAGTATCCTAATATACCCATATTTAATATGATTTGTTAACACAAATAAAAATCACTTCATTATTCAACTATAGTTAGAACAATAAATTAAAAACAAAAAAAATATTTCATCTTCCATGATATTTTTTCATTTGTATTTGTATTTGTATTGGATGAATTTGGAATGTTAATTACCTTGATTCTTGCATTAAACAATGACTAGTACCAAAAATAATTTAATTATCTTGAATATTGCATGCTTAATTTAATTACCTTGAATATTGATTATATTAATGTATGGGTATATTAGAAAAAATGATAATAAAATTTATTATTTTAACTATATTAACTTTTTTTTTTATGGGACAGAGGAATACTAGTTTCCAATCGTACACCCTTATGTGGGGATGGGGGTTTGTACCCGAGCTTTATAAAATCAAGAGACTCAATTCAGAGCATGTTTGGTAGGGCTTAAAATTCAATTAAAATTGAAAATATAGTCGTTATTGGGTCTCACTCGTCTAATAAAAATCAACAATAACGGTTAGTTTTTCAATTTTAATCCGATTTTAATCTCTACCGAATACGCCCTCAATGTGCTTTTGCGAAAATCAAGACTTTTTGATCATGTTGAGACATATGTAGCAAATATATGTTTTTTTAAGAGGAAAAGGGATTTTTATTTTATTTTTTTGTGACAAATTTGGTTAAAAATACTTTTACTCACTTTAGAAGTTGTTTCACTTTGATTATTGAACATTTTTTTAACTATCAAGAGGATCTTTTTCTAATAGGAGATAATCGAAAAAGACGCACCTCTAGTGTACCAGTTGAACAAAAAAAAATATTTTTATTTATATCATCCATTCGATAATCAGAATGGGCAAAAATAAACCTTTTTTTTTGTCCAAGTCACTTCTTTTTTAGCCCAAATTGCTTTTCTTTTTGTTCAAATTTAGAACCATACATCAAAATTTCTCTCATATTGCTCCTTGGAGGTAGCAAATAAATTTATGTACATTTCAACATTATTTATCTTGATATGTTAGGAAAAATGGTGTGTAAGAGGAGTGGGGTTTATTATTTGTGTATAACATGACATTAAAATGTCATTAAATGATAACTCCAATTAAATATGGAGATTGATACTATTGCTACATTATATTGCAAAATTAACGAAAATGTTAACAAGGTAGTAAACTCTGGGGATTGGAGAAGAAGATTTTCTTACAAGTATTTTTCTTTAATTTTTTATTAATTTGTTAGACCAGTGTATTTAGAAAGCACAACAAATCTAAAAGATGCATTTTTGTCTAATTGGACGACGAGAACAATGTCACTTGTGAGTTTTTCATCTCAAGCCATATTTTCTATTAGCACACCGTCATTTCTGTTAATTTACTAAATTGTTGCTAAATAAAAATAAAATGAAAGTTTAGTTAGTGGGCGTTTGGTGGGGATTAAAACTAGATTTTTAGTAGATTGTGATATACGTTTTTGAAATGTGTGGCTGAAAAGCTGTGGCCGGGACTCATGAAAGATTTGTTTAGTATTGATTGTTTGTTTTTGACTTAAATTAAAATCTGATTTTAATTTGAAACAAACAGAGCCTTATTAATTTATAACAAAAAAGTATGGTGATCAAAGTGAAACAATCATATAAGTTGGGTGACTATTAGTGAATTTTCATAAGGCTTAATATCTAATGAACAAATGGTTTTCTATAATTTTTCTATCTTCCAAATTATTTACTAAATTTTTCACTGAAAAGGTGGAGACGAAACTCTTTTCTAACAACCGGGAGGTTCTCAGAGAGAACTTTTAACACATACGTACTTTAGAAGAAAAAAAAATAATAATGCTGATTAAGGCGATTCGACGCATGTTTAACAAAAAAAAAATTGTTTTCTTATAAGATGTGATCCCACGAATTGTGTTTGGATCAAATTTCATGAGCTCAAATAGGAAATATAAAATGAAAATTCTCAACTAGCTTATAAATTAAACTAAACATATGAATTTTGTTTCACACAATTTGTGAGACTCCAACTTATAAGAATTGTCAAATGCATGCTCTCAAAAAGGTATTACGGCGTGTAAAAGAGAGGTCCACAGTTCACATCTACACGCTAATTATTTATGTAAATTGTAAATATGTTAAAGTTTTAATAAAAAAATGAAAGGTATATTGAAGATTTAAATTAAATATATAAGTATATACTTTTTAATTGTTTAACATTTTAAATGCAGTGGTTAAACGAACTGAACATAAAAGTCTTTAAAGAAATGAGTTTTCTGTAGAGCTGTTAAATTTATTTTTTAGAAAATCCTAGACTATTTTGAGAATATATTTTGTGAAAAGTAATTTTTTTTTAAGAATGTACACTTAAAAAAAAAAAAAGCACAATATTTTCTTTTATTAAAATTATTTTATTAAAGGAGTATGTAAATATACATTTGAAAAATAAATTTTAAAGAATTTGTACCAAGATTAAATATAACATGCACAAATCTGCAAGCACAATATTTTCTTTTAAAAAGCACTTATTATCATATTTCCTACGTACTATAAACACGAGGAAATACAAGGAAATGATCGATTGAGCTGGTCATATTTCCATAATGGTCCTTGACCATTAAAAAAGAAAAAAAAAGTTAAAAACTATTAAGTTAAAAATCAAAACCCAAAAATACCCTCATTTTCAACCAAGTGTTTGAGCGAAGAGAAAAAGAAATTTCAAAAAAAACTCACACAGTCTAACAGTTGTGGTCTAGTCGAATAACCCATCCTCACAGTCAATCCAATGTTGACCACCACACAATCCGACCATTATTTTCAAACAATGTTAGTGTTTTTGGGATTATGAGATTGATTTTTCTTTTATTATGTTTCAAAAATTCATGAATTAAATTATTGTGTATAATGTTTATTTTTCATTATTTAGGTAGATTATTGGGTGTAATAGTGATTTATACACGTATTTCGCAATTCAACACCTTATTCTCACTGGAAACAGTGATTTCTCGTCATTTTCGGCTAGAAACAATCGGCTCGATCGACTGTTAAACAATTGGTTTGGGCCAACTTCATTTGTGTTCATTTTCGTCGCTCGCAAACATCAACGACAACTATTGTCGACACAGACAATCGTCAATAATAACTTGTTTGATTTCTTTACTTTGAATTCAAAGTTATATTTCAGTACAATTTGATGCACAACATCTTGCAAATCTTTTTTGGTTTCAAATAGTTGCTCGACTTACAATCCTTATCATTGGGAACCACATGCAAAGAATTAGATGACGATCCACTCGATCCAGCCATTGCTCTCCTGCCCTACTCATGCCTCTGACGTGATAAAGAAATCAAATACTCATTTGTAAATTCATTTTATTTTTGTCGTTCTGAACTATCAACAGAATTCTATATATAACAGTGAGATTACGATGATGAACAACTGTCTCGGGAATAACCATATTATCTTCACGAGCTATCTCCAGTGTCTTCCAAAAATCTTTGGCATTGTGATCTCCTCCATCCAAATTTTCGTGTCACTTTCGACGACATTCTTCCTTACTAATATCACGCATAGAGGATTCGTGTGCATTTTGTTCAATTCAAATACACAATTCATTTCAGTATCAAAAGTAATCTTCATAAGTGAAATCGAAATGGATAATTATTCTTTGAATTGAAATATTAGTTCTATATCGTACTGAGATGGATCAACTTTCAGTTTGTTTTATAAATTATGGTACATTTTCGCATATGATGTACTCGACGTTATGAAAATTGGAATACCACCACGTATGCTACTTGTTCATTTCCACACCCATCGATCTTTTCCATCCAATTCGAAATCAATAAAGTAACAGAGATTACAACCATATATGCATAATGAAACATTTTAATTATAATAAACAAAATAATTAGATAATCGGCACAACCACTGGACAACAGAATTTTTTTTAAAAAAAGTTCTAACAGCTGGTTGCCTAAGGCTGTCAAGATTAGTCAGAATCATTGCCATAAATATACATGCAGATGAATTTTTTTCTAATTTATACTTAAAAAATTATAGATCCGTTAAAAAAAGTTATCTACATATTAATCTATGTCGAAATAAGATTATTGATTATAAATATATACTAATTTAAT